GGGGGGGGGGTCACTGCTAGAGACAGCAGTGTCCCTTTTTGCCCTTTTCCTTCCTCTTTCTCCAGAGGAAGATGTGGGGCTGAGAGGCAGCTTCCTGTGGGCATTTCTCTCGGAAACCGTCCCCTCTTTTTTCCTTGCCAGTGCACACTTGCCCAGCAGTACAAATATGAACCGTTCCTTGCTCACAACCCCGATACGTGGAATACTGCCATCCTCTTTCCTTTCCCAGCCCTTGCTGGGGTGGGACTGTCGGAGGCTGGTATTGTATAACTTGTGGGCCAAAGGGGACACAAAAGCCTGTAGCCTCTAGGTACCTCGGTTTTGAGTCAGCGTGGTGGGAGTAACAGCTGTGCCCTTCTTCAGGGAGTTACGTGGCGATCAGATCAGAGTTCATGAGGCAATCTGATCCTGCAGTGACAAGGGCTATGTGAGGATTGAGACAGTTGTTGAGGGCCCTGCAGTTCTTGCATCAGTGAATTAATCTCCTGCCAAGTCCAGAGTACTCCTAGTTTAAAACATGGGTTGTGTGTAGAAACGTGAGAGCGCCCTGTTGTCAAGAGGTGCTCTCTGAAATGCTCCAAGAGCTTTGTGACTTCCTCCTGACCTTGTTAGCTTTTGCTTTTAACTTTCTGATATTTTTAATTGAAGTATGAGAAACGATTCATGCTTTTCACTTGCTATATGAAGATTATTGTGGCCTGTGGAAACTGGGTTTCTCTTCTCTTCTGCTCTGTCCCCAGAGGCCTTAGTTATTAATGACCCTGACTTCCAGCATGAGGATTTGAACTTCCTCTCCCGTAGCCAACGTTATGAGCAAGCCATCAGGAAGAGCGCTCTGATGGTGATGAAGTTGAGAGAATATGGGATTGCAGATCCTGAGGAGATCTACTGGTTTAAAAGGTACCCAGTTGTAGAATTTGCTTTTTATATTTACTTTTATCATCACTAAGGACAGTAGAGCTGCCTTTTTCTTCCTCCTACGTTAGTTTGCTCTGGAAATCTAGACTTGCACCAAAACACACTGAAGTTGGCTTCAATGAATTTAAGGCTCGCCCTGATTCCCTGAATATTGTGTTTTCTTAGGGTTTTTTTTTTTTTTGGCTAGAAATAACACCTTCTGCACCATATACTTAAAAAACAGTGATAACAGGGCTGGTAGTCTGATTTGTGAAAAGGAATGAAAGAATATACGTTGAAATAACTTGACTCTGAATAGATCTGATAAGGTTGCAACTTCTAATGGACTCTCTTAAAGCTGATTACTTCTCTTTGCACTTAGACCTAATAAAGATGCATTATAGACATACTTGAAAGTGTTTCAAGATCGTTTGTTAGTTCTTGTTTATAAGTTTCTCTCTCCCTTCTCCCTCCTCCAAGCTTCTGGGGTTATAGTGGTTTCCCTTTGACCTAGAGGCTTTCTATTGTATGTGACGTTTTATTTAACTGATAGTGTTGCCCTTGGGTTAAGTAAATTAAAAATGCTGCTTTTACATCTGAGTTGCATTGCTGCCAGCTTGCAGGGGGCTTTCTTGCTGGCTCTGACATATTTCTCATCTTAGTTTTATTAAACTGATATAATTAAGCAAAAACTGTTTGTACAGCTCTAGAAATCCAAACATAAGACCGTGAATATATCCTCTGGCACCCTGAATAACTAAATATGTTCTGAATGCACCACTAAAATCATAAGCCCCCTCTAACTACATTTGTAGGAAAGCTTTCTTTGCCTCAGGGGATGGATATTGGGACCAGTTAGTCCAACCTGCTGTAGTGTTAATTTCAGAGCTGTTGTTCAACAGTGTGAACTATGTCATGAAAGTTCTTGTGGGAAGTAAAACATGTTTTCTGAAAACTGTTAGCAGTGAGCAATGATTACAAGAGAAAGTTCAGTGACTGTATTAGGTTATGTAGGTACTGCATGGCGAAAGTTAAACGTTAATTTGTCCGAAGCAAGCATTTCCCTACTGGAGGGGATAGGGAAGCTTTTTCAATTATTTTAGCAGAGAAAACTCAGACAAGCGCATCCAGTCTCTCAGCTGACAAATTTCCATGGTGTGGGTAATGTAAATACTATGCTTTGTTAGCATTGCTAACAGCATTTTATGAAAACAGGACTCTTCTGGAGTAATCAGATGATACATTCTAGTTTTGTTGTTCTATAAATTCATCTTGGAGTCAGCAGTTCATAATTTTAATGGGTGAGTGCTAAATATTTTATGTAGCTACCAAGTAATATATCCGTATCTTATGATATGAATAGTCAAATGTGACTGGTCAGAGTTTGTGATCTGAAATCAACTGAAATACTTGGGAAGATTTACTTATTTTCAGAGCTAAATCTAGCTGCAGATACTCGGGATTTCCAAAGCTAATTGCAGCTATGCAGAATGACTGTATTTCTCAGTCTTCTGTGCTAACAACATGTAGAAGAATAAAAAGCAGTACAGTTTTTGCCTGTGAGGTTTATTTTCTAGAAGAATGATATCAGGCTATACTGTTTACATGCTTGATTTGAATTCTTTACTACAATATGAAGTGTTTGTAAGGGACGATACTGGCTTAGTGGTTAATAGATGGAAGAGATCAAAGGCTTATCTTTTCATCCTTTGAGTTTATTTGCATTTTAACATCTCTCTCCGTTTTCTCAAATGCCGAATTTAAACTTAACCTTAAGTAAGCACACTGGATGGAGTTCAGTGTTTCTTTGGCATATCCAGCCATGTCAGTTGGTACCTACCAGAAGAGACCTTAGTTAGCTAGAAGGCAACCTAGAGGTTTGTGAGAAAGGACTCTGCTACGTATCTGGCCTTATTCAGTTTTCCAGACTGGAAAATTGAATGGATATGGTGTTATGACATGCCTTTAATGACGTTCATGAAGTAGGTTGAAGTCCTTGATTCAACTGTAAAACTGTATTTGTGACTGACAATCAGATTTCTGCGTAAAGAAGGCTGAAGATGTTTTACAGTAATTCCTCTCGTGCATTCATCCTTTAAGAGTGGAAACAAAGGTACGCTCACATATGCGATCGCTGTCGGTGAGCTTTTTCAAGGCCGAGCTCGTTTTCCTGTAGCTTCTATATACTACAAGAATTTCGTAATCAGGCTTTGTCTCCCAACATGACAAACTTTAAAGTTTGATGTATGAATAGCCTTGGAAGGAAAAAAAGCTTCCTTCAGCTGCCCTGAAGATATGGCTAAACAACTGTTGCTGCTGTGACGTGTTGGGAACTGCATATTCCTCCTTCCTGTTTCCACAACAGATTTGTTAGGCTCCAGAACTTGAGACCTGTTAAATATATTTAGAAGCCATTTTAATTGCTGCTTATCTCGTCATTTTTTTTCCTGTGCTTTAACACACGTCAGCTCTGCAGGTATCACTGACTGTGGCTTCTGAAGAGCAGCAGCCTTAAAGTGCCAATATTTGATGTTTCTTTCACTGTCTAAGTGCAGTAGAATGCAAGTCAGCGTGAAAAATGGAAGGTTGCTGATGTCCATGATATACAGCTTTTTGAAGCAAGCGGTCTGGTGGCCTTAATTCACCTTCAAATTTAAAGGGCTTTCACTGAAGAAAACAGAAGTAAGAGAAGAAATGAGAAACAGCTGGGAGAAACTGGGGCATGGAAGAGAAGATCTGAGAGCTGCAAGTCAACAGATGATTCCTGTGTTCGTGAGCGTTATTACATGATTGTGCGCTTTCCCTTTGGGACTTTGCCTCTGCTTCTCATTTTGGCACTTAAGGTAGAACCAGGAGTACTTTTCAGTACATCCAACCAGAAGCTGTAATAGGGTCCCAGGCTACTACAGCTTAATGGGGCCCTACTAGCTGCTGCTAAGCTTACGTGGCATGGATGAGTCTGACTTTGGTTTTTCTTTTGATATGGCTTGTAAAGGAGTTTATTGCCATGGCATTTGTTAACTCTGAAACTCAGTAAGCACAGGTCAGCCGTGTTACCCCCTGCTGTTTGCCCCCTGAGGAGATCCTTCCAGTTCTTCCTTCAGAATGATCTTGGGAACTGCGAAAGCTGGAAAAGTTGGGTAGGAGACTTTGTTTTAAAGTAAGTGATCCTATTCTGTCGCCTAATTCTGCAGTCTGAGAATGTCTTTGCAATTGTTCATTTTGATCTGAAATCTCAAAGCGTAGACTTCTACTGTACTGTTCCCCAATAGGTATACTATCATACTAGATTAATCTGTCAAATACAAGTGCCTTTTAGTAATATGGGTGGTGTTGGCTGCTGTGATGTCTGGAAAGATCTAAATTGCCCAAGTAGCATGTTATTCTACGCTCCTCTCCTGTAAGGGGATTTGGAACTGCAGCTGCCTTCTTGACTCACTGTGGTGCTCTTGGCAAATCTGACTTCAGATTAACACAGAACATCTGTGGTCATTGATAAAATTGCTAGTGCTAGATGCAACCAGCCACATTCAGTCTTGACGTAGCTAATAGCATCAACAGTTAATGCAATTCAGGCTGTGATGAGCACTGTGTAGATAGTGGGAAGAAATTGGGAGAGGCAGGGGTAAAAGTTTAGAGAAAGAAAAAGAAGAAAACTATTCTTCTGTTCCACAGATAGTACCTCTTATCTGGTTGTCCTTTGTCAAGAGAAAACAGGAATTGCTTGTGAAGGTTCTTGGCATCTTGGCTCCTGCTGACTTCACGTGGCTCTTAACCAAACAGCGTTTTAACATTTAAGAGCGTGATCACCCACTCATCTTTTCTTTCTATTCTTCCCAGTTCTAGCTGTTACTGGTTTTGTTTTGTTACTTATTATTGATAGCATACTTATTAGTTTAATTTAAAAAAAGGAAACTTGCTATAGCCATCTCTGTCTTTGGTACTATTGCTAATGCAAAAGGATTACATGGCTGATAAGGAAGTAGGCTCTAGCCAGTGAAGAAGTAAAGGGTGCTGTTATTACTATATGGCTCCTGGAGTAAATGGGGAGGAAAAAAGCATGTAGGAAAATACAGCAAGGTTGGGGCACTTTCTGTCTTCCTGTCCTTGTAGCATTTGTAAGCCCTTGGTGAGCCTGTTAAGTTTTACTGCAGCATATCTATTTATAAGGGAGATACCAGAAAGTATTCCATAAGTTAAGAGAAGTGGCTGCCTTGATCCCAAGGACTCTATATACACTGTATCCCCATTCAGACCAGCTTAGAGCACAATTAGTTCATTAATAGCCTGTATTGGATTACTTGATGACAATAGTTCTGGTTCTGGAAAGGTTCTTGGCTCATTCAGTCTTGCCCATTTAAAAACTGTTTCATTTAAAATGAGTGTCTTCCATGTGAGGTTCAGTGGTGCTGAAGAAGCTGTCCCTCTTATCTCTTGTCCTAAGGCTGCTTTTGGCACTTTCTGTACAGCAATCTGTTTTTGAATCATCAGTTATTTGCTCTCTGCTCCCAGGTGTTCATTCATAGTGTAAAATGCCAATCACAAATGCTGCTGTAATTTGAAAAGCTCTCTGTACAGAACATCTGCTCCTCAGTGCAGACCTATGCTGACAACTAACTCCTGAGAAATAAGTTCCCTGGCAGGTAAAAACAGATCAAGGTCGGAGGTTGTATTTCCTTTGTAGATCTCTCGAACAGATGGGAGAGTTTTGTACCTAGGTTTTCA